GATTGCTTGAGGTCAGGAGTTCGAAACCAGCCTGAGCAAGAGTGAGACCCCGTCTCTACTATAAATAGAAAGAAATTAATTGGCCAACTAATATATATATAGAAAAAATTAGCCGGGCATGGTGGTGCATGCCTGTAGTCCCAGTTATTCGGGAGGCTGAGGTAGTAGGATCACTTGAGCCCAGAAGTTTGAGGTTGCTGTGAGCTAGGCTGACGCCATGGCACTCACTCTAGCCTGGGCAGCAAAGCGAGACTCTGTCTAAAAAAAAAAAAAAAAAAAAAAAAGAATTAAAATATGTTTAAATGTATGAAAGCAATATAGTTTCTTCCTCTATATAAGAATATAGAGGAAGAAACAACCCACCCTGACTAGGTGAATGGAACTAGACTTCACTGAAGAGGTTCATTCTAGCTGGATATTTTCCCTCAAATTTTTCTGCTTAGCTGTAAAACAACTTAATATTCAGTGTAGATCATAGGAAAATATGAAAAGTATAGGGAAATGAAAATTATATATTGAACTTTCACTCAAGGATAACAATAGTTACTATTTTAGGGAACATTTTCCATGTTTTCTCTATGCATATGTAAAAACTTTAATACAAAAAGATTTGGCATAATGTTTTATAAACCTTTGTTTTTTCATTTAGTAAGACCTCAAAAATATTTTTCTACTATGTAAAATATCATTTTTAATGTTTTTTGAGTTATACAGTCATCTATTTTGTAGGTGGGTCACAGTTTATTTAAACTCTATTTCTATAGAAAGAAAAATATTATTTTTAATGTTTTCCTTTTAAAATGCAGTAATTTTCATCATCTTAAACAAAATTTTCCATGTGCCACTAATTATTTTCTAAGAATAAACTTCAAGATATAAATTATTTGATAAAATAATTTCTAAAACTACTCAGATAAATATTACCCAAGTGCCCTACAGAAAAGTACCTCTAATTTCTCTCACCAGAAAAGAATATACTTCCCTACTTTGTCAACATTGTGTATCTTTTAGAATCCTAGATATTTGATTGGTGCAAAATGGTAGATTGATTTAATTTTCAGGTCAATGATATTTACTCAGGAAAATTTTTTCATGTCTGTTGATCATATGTATTTCTGCTTTTGTCAGTTTTCCAAAGGATAAGATTCATGAAACTAAAGACTTTATCCCTCATTATACCACTCTATTCCAGTTCTTAGTACAGTAGTAGGCATACTGCATTTGTTGAGCAGGTGCTTAACAAATATTTAATAATACATTCAGGTATTATGTAACTTCTTTTTTCCATGCTTTTATCAGTATATTTGTATTTTTCTTATTGAATAGTAAGTTCTCTACATGTTTTAAAAATATTTAGCTTCTCAACTTGTGTTGGGAATATTTTCCCTATGTTGTTTGCCATTCAGTTTTGCTTGATATGCTTTTGTTAATTAAAATGTTTTGTTTTTATTTCTATGTGGCAAACTAGATAATATTTTCCTTATGTATTGTGTCTCTGGTGTTTTCTGAAAAAAAACTTTTCTTCATTCTAAGATTAACTATTCACCAGCAATCATAGAAAATAATTTAGAAAGTTATGGTCAAATTCAATTTTCTCCCAAATTCTTTATCAGTATTGTAGGATCGTTTCCTAAGTAATTTAAACTCTAACTTTATTATATAACAGTGATACTTTCATATAATTATAATAATATTAATAATCCTAAAGCTAGGAATTATTGTGTAATCCTTTAATATGCATTATCTTACTTAAAAATCATGCTATTATTATGAGTTATTATCATTATCATGATCTATGCTTTACAACTGAAGAAACTGGGCTAAGAGAAATTATTATAATAAAACATGTATTTGAGTTTGTTTCTGAAATAGTGTTTTCTGATTATTGTTGAATCAATACATACTGCTTTAATTATTATAGCTTTATCATTTTCACATCAGGTAGAAGAATGGACCAACTTCTTGAGTATTGGTTTCTGTTTAACATGTTCTCCATACACAGTCTAGCCTAGCTTTTAACCCTGGTGTTTTTGCTCACTGCTGTTTTTCTAGTTGAGATAGTAGCTTAAGAATGCCAACAGATCTAGTCACAGTTACTTTTGAATATTGTTGAGCCCTCATGGCAAAAGAGATCCTTTGAGGTCTGCTCCTTGTTTGTCCCATGAAGAACCATCTTGAATTGCCTCTATTTACTTCCTGCTACACCAGCTACCTTAAAGGAGGAAAGTGACAAGTTGGTTTTGATATCTTTCCTCTACCTGAACCCACCTACAACTACATCTATCAGACATTTCTAGATTTTCTATCTTGTATAAGGTATTATCCCTATTTTCCAATCCTGAGGTAGGTTGTTTTCTAATTTTGTATTCCTTCGGTCATTGCAATGAAGGTATGGGTGTAGAATAGGAAGTTAGATGTTTATCTGGAAATCCAAAATAATATTTAAAGGATGAGTAAATGTCCTTTATGCAGAAAAAAAAGGAGTAGGGCATTCTAGGTGGGAAAATGATATGTGGCAAAGCATAGAAGTAAGAAAGAAGTTGTCTGGAACTGATGTGGTTGCAATTAGAAAGACAATTTGGAAAGGTAGTTTGGAATCAGATTGTGCAAGATATTGTACACTAAACTGAGATAAATGGACTTTGTTCTTTAAGATACTAGAAGCCATCAAAATCTATTCTCTCTACAACTGACAATTCTGCCAACACATGAAACAGCTATCATATTTTTCTTGAAATTGTCTTGGCAAACTAATGTGCCCAGTTTCTTCCTTTTTTCTTCACATAATATGATTTGATTTCTTCATTTTTTGATAGTTCTCCTATGAGCATACTTTACATGTGACAGTTACTAAATATAGTTTATCCTGTATCCTTTTGTACTTTTAATATGCTGTATTCACATATATAATATCTTGGAAACAAAGATTTTAGCATTTTCTTTTTTTCCTCTCTCTTCCTAACACACACACACACAATACTTGAATTATTTTATTAACTCACTAGACATTTATTAATTATTGTTCAGTGAACAAAGAAGCATTTAATTGCTAATATTACCAATCAATTTGTATTTGGTAGTAATGCTACAGACCTCCCTTTTTTTTTCTTTCTTTCCAACAAAGTATCTTTTTTTTTTTTTTTTTTTCTCCTAATGCTTCTCCAACAAAGTATCTAGAGTAAGCATTTCTGTATATGTCTGAAATGAGATGATATCCACAGAGCAAAAGTAGAAGACAGCCAAGCTCTCAGTCAGGGCCCATTGATTAGATATTGACTTCTAAAATTCCAATTTTTAATCCTCAATGCAAAATGATAATTTATTTGGAAATTTTTAATATTTTATTCTACTATTTTTTTGAAAACTGGCCTTACAATAGAACTAAGTCATTGCCACATTTCCAAATTAAACCAAAAATAGAAACAAGTTAGAGTTGAAGTTTCCAGAAGAATTTTCTATTTGTTATATCCCTTAAATTGTCTCAAGCCACATAGAATATCTTTAATGGCTCTATTGTTAGCTTGGACATGGCATGGAAAAACTTTTGCAGATGTACAAACTTAAATAGAAAAAAAAAACAATGAGTAACTGTGATACAAAAAAAAAGGTGGAGTAATAGCAGACACACCCCAGATACTTTAAGCAAATTTCCTGAAAGTCAGCCAATGGAAATTGGAATGTTGTCTATTTGTCTAAATACAACCTCACCCACCATTCTTGTTCAGAGGTAAAATATAACGTATTAAATTCTGTTAAAGTGATCTTGTACTGAAATACATGGCTCAAGAAGAATTTGGAGGGGGAAAAAAGAACCCCATCATGAAAATTAGTAAGGAAAGACATACTGTGGGAATATTTAGCAAGTCTTCTATAACAAAAGATGGCTCCCTGATATTTAAAGTCACCTGGGCCTGTTTAAAAGGGATGCTATGTAAGTATATGGGGGAGGGACCTTTTAACAAACACCTCAACGTAGTGTCCTATTATGGTCAGTGGGTGGCATCATTTTTGATATTGAATCTTGTTAATATAAACAAATGATTATTTCAGAACAAATAATAACAAAGTATCTAACCAAGGATGTCTAAACTTGGTGAAATCTAAATTTTAAAAAGAATATAGATATTTGTGATTACAATTGAATATTAAAATAGAAGTATTTAAATCTTAGCTTTGGCTGAGTCCTTATGAATATGTGCAAACTGCTCCATGTTTCAAAATGAGATGTGAGAATACCATATGAGACTTACAAAGAAGATGGTCAAAAGCTAGTTTTATGTAGGTACTCACCCATGTTGAAGTTATAAAAGGGCAGAAATGCAAATTAGAAGAGGTTTCATGGGAAGAGCTGTCAGGAAATTGTGAGTCCCCTACCTCTTATCCCTTATCATGCCCAGGGAAACAGCCATCAAAGGAACCATTATGGAAAAAAAAAAAAGAACCACTTCAGGAGCTTGGCATATTCTTTGCCTTTTGCTACTTAGAAGATACAGTGGGCACAGTCTCAGGCCAGATAAATTAAAGGATAGCAGACTGACTGTGGCTGAAGACTCACTGGTTATCTCAGTGATGGAATAAGAAAAGCTGTTCCATTGGGGCAACCTGTTCTTCTAAAATTTGTTTAGAGCAAAGAATGCTTAAGAGTTTCACACTGACCAGATGAGAGGAGTGAGAGAGGGAAGAGCAGGTGGGGTAGCTTTGATCCTCCCCAAGTTTTCCTGGAGACATGATTGGACAGCAGAAGAGAGAAGCAGGACGTATACCCTGGATTTCTAGGGGCTGAGGATATTCATTGCCCTGCACCACAGGAACTTTTAATAAATGATCCCTAGCTGTGGGCTTATCACCAAAGAAACTTGAAAAGTACCCCAAAAGAGAAATAGAGCTTTAAACACTTGCCAAACCCGGAGAACATCAGCTCTAGTCCTTTATACCAGTATTTGACAAGTAAAATATTTCCTATTTTCCTATTCCCTCATCTTCTCCTCAAACCCCACTAGTTCCACTTTTGGATGAAAACCATGTGTTAGCAAGGTGCAGGAAGAGAGCAGAAGTATAAGACACAGAGAGGAAGCTGACTGTCCCTTGAGCAGGTTCAAGCTAGGTAAGAAAGAAGAGTTGGTATAAATATAATTATAATTACATGGGGATGGTCATTTTAATATTAGAATTGTGATTTACAGGACTAAAGTGACCAAAGGTTACTCTGAGAGTGATGAGAAAGGTCAATAGTACCTGCCCTAAAGTGCATCTGAACCCAAAGAAGAACCAGCTTCACAGAATAGGTTGGAATGGGCAATTGTTTCCTGGTTACACACTGAGTCCTTCTTGTTCAGTATAATGTGATGAGCTACCTACCTCTCCCCAGATCCCTCTAGGTTCTGGATATGAGGACATTTGGCTCCCATTCATGGCCTCAGCATCCTTCTAATCCCAAGAATCAAAGGATCCTTGTATCTCTATGTAGTTCAGTAGCTCAGAATCCATTTACCTTATTATTCTAAGGCCCCTCTCACCTTGTAGCCTTACCTGATCTCAATAGCCAGCCTTTTATATCCTACCTTCTCACCAAGCTCCATCTTGTTTTCCAACTCTGAGTCTAGTTTTTGATTTCCCCTGACATCCTCCAAGTATTCTTCCTGGGACCTGAGCTCCAGTCCCCCTAACTGGAGCCTTAGCACACATTGCAAATCCTCCTGCAAGCCAGCCCTCCTCACAGCTTGTTTCCAGACTCAGGCTCTGCAGAGCTCACATACCAGGACATCGTATTCATTCGCTTATAGACTTCCCAATACAAGACTTCTGCCCAGACTTCTCCCTGTCCTGGCTCTGTGTTCCATGTCTTTGCTGAGACAGATTCCTTTCATCTATGTTGAGCCTCTTTGACAGTCTTTTTTCTTGCTACTGAGAGAAACCCTAGTTACTGCCCCATGCCAATGGGTCTACCTCATCTCTTGGCTCAAGAACCCCTAATGAGTAGGCCCAAGCCCCATCAGTCCACTATGCTTTGGGTAAGGCCATGTAAGATAAGTCCTTCAGTTTAAGAAATATTTAATTACTTAATCCTCTGGTCTAGGTGTTTTGGAGTAATGAAAAATCATACCCTTGAGTGCCTTATGAAGTCCCACTTACACATATTTAAATTGATGAAAAGAAAATTCAATATGTTTTTTAAAATCTAGTTGCTGTTATATTTTTCTATTCCTTCCTCACCCAACCCTCCTGAATGATAGTTATAGCAGGGAGTGGCCTTTTGTGCAATCCCACGCCAATTTACCAGGCCACCAGGAAAATAAGCCTCCTCCAAGTGCAAGGCTGCTTTTAGGCAGCAGTGCCACCTTGTAGAACAGGTATACCAAGGTGTCTAGGTTTTGTTGTGTACATTGATTTATGGAAACTCAGATTCATAATTTATTACCTATACCAGCTTGATCAGTACAAGAAGCAATATATCTGTAATACTGGTGATGACAAGAGTACATGCTTGGATTTACACATTTATACCAAGCAAATTCTTTTCCTTTCTTTGTTCTTTCTTTCTGTTCTATGCAGATCGCATCCAATACTTCCCTGTAGCAGTTGTACAGTGAAGCCTACCATATCCCACATTCTGCATTCCTTCCATTATCATGGCACTTTAATGCAAGGTGCTAGAACAATATTAAATTCTGAAGATTAGGTATGGCTGCAAATGATGTGAAAACTAAAAATCAGTGGTTTAAACAAGATAAAATTTTATTTATCTCATACATGCTGTCCATGACTAGCATCATCAAAGATCCAGATTCTTCCTTGAGTTTTTCTTTGCTATTCTTAATGACTTTCATCCTAGGTGCAAGGTGGCCTCTCAAGTTCCAGCCACAAGGTCCACAGTCCAGGTAGCAGTAAGGAAAAGTAGGGACAGAACAGATATTTCCCATTAAAGTGCTTGTTTTAGAAGTCACACAGGACACTTTTGCTAAATCCCATTCACCAGCAATTGATGACATGACCCCATATAGCTACAAGGGAAGCTGGGAAGTATAACCTTTATTCTGGAGGGGACACATGCCCCCAGATAAATTTGGGGGTCCTATTATTGAAAAAGTAAAGGAGAAGGACACTGAGGTGACAACTAGCAGTAACTAGCACAACTCTCCATTTTGCATTTTGGTAGAGGCCTATTTTCTTTAGATTACTATTTAAATTTTTATCTACTTATTTATAAAATACTATGTGATTTTGAGGTCTCTTCTTATACTTGATTTTACACCCATGAACTGAGTATCATGAATGTCAGTAATGATAAAATTATTTTAAAATTTTATCTTCACCATAATTAACTTTTAATATGACATCTTGCCTGGGTTTTAAGTAAGACAATACTGAATAAATATTTTCTTTTATTTGATTTGCTTATAATACAAAGTATTGCATTAAATACACAGATATATTTATTAATAAAATTAAGCTCATTATTACTCACTTGAACATTTTTAATAATTACCCATCTCAAACTCTTTCTCTTAAATATATTAAAAATGTCACTGCCGAAATAATTTCCCTAAAGCATAACTATGATAATGTCATTCCCCATGTAAATACCAGAGTGGTTTCTCTATTTCCTATAGAATAAATCCAAATTTCTTAGCCTATAATTTACGGCTCCACATAATCTGATCCAAACTTTAGCCTTTAGGCTTGTCTTCCATTATACCCTTTGTAAAACACACATCCTTAGTGGAAATATTCCCTACTCCCCATAAGTGCCTGACACTTGTACTCCACTCTCACATTGCTTATGAAGTTTCTTCTGCTTGGACTAGGCACCCCATCCCATCCTCTACCCCAGTTTCTTCTCCTTCTGCATATTTTGTCATTTCTTGAAGGATCTGTGATGCCACCTTCTGCACTAAGTCCTGGCCCCCATCAATACTTGTCTTAAACTTATTACTGTAGGTCAGATTTTGAGGAGCTTGCACATCTCTTATTCTCTTATCACATCATACATTTATTAAGTAAATACATTTTATTTAATTTTAATTTACCCCATTGCACTTTGTAGATAAAGTGCATGTGGTAAATATTTATTGATTGAATGAATAACGTAACACAATAGCTTTGTCTACAGGGCCCCTTAGAAGCAAAACCTGTATCTTAAGAGATAAAGAAGCTTATTTAGTCTCTCCATTTTTGCTTTCAGTTTAAATTTAGTACCAGACAATAGGAAGCATTACCACTTGATGCCAAATGAATAATTCACAAACTAATTCAGAATCAGTCTAACCTCTCTTGCAAGAACAATAATAACAATGAAAATACATCAAAAACCCCACATATTTTATCCTCATAGTGTATCTTTTTTAGACATGTCATTCCTTCAAAATGTTATTAATAGCTTAAATTTATAGACAAATATTTTCTCAACAGTCAAAAAAGAAAAAAGATAGATACTAAAAATTTGGACCAACCTGCTTGATAACAAATTTAGGCAGCACTCAGAACAGATAATTGAACAGATAACTTGTGAAAACTTCAAATAGAAAGTGGAAGTAATGAAGAGCCATAAAGTATAGGAAACAAATTACATTTGCTTCCTCTTTTAATAGACTTATTATTAATATAACCGAAAATTGGATATATGTACCAAGTATATCTTGATTTCTTTTTTTAGTTATTTAAAAGTGTTTTATGTAATGTAAAATATTATTTTAAAAACAATAAAAGAAAGAAAAGAGAAACAAATATTACCATCCATATCACCACCTAATAATCAATTCTCTTTATTTTTCCAAGTTCTCTCCACTGCATTCATTGATTTATTTATTCACCAAACAGTTGTTAAACACTTTCTCTATATTACATATAGAGTATTTGAATTTTAACACTAAATTTGACTTCCCAGAAATCAATATGGATAAGATGGTGAAATATGAATTGAATGATATTGTAGCCAGATTAATTCTCAATTTGTTAAATCACACCTAAAGCATGTGGTTTACTAATTTGGTATCAACCTGAAGGGATGCCAAAATTTCTATTACTGGCTTAATCCTAGTCAATATGTTCATCATAGTCTTAAATGTTGAAAGATGTAATGCTCACCATGTATGCAGATGTGCAATGAAATAAAATTTTTATTGATAGGTAATATTACAGAAAATAAAAACTAGAATTTAATTTGACTCTCATTATCATGTCATAAGCCCCAGGAATTGGGATCTATATTATTGCTATTAATAATACTGATGATGGCAAATGCTTTTTTAAAAGAGATCTGATTATATATCAGACATTATGCTAAATATTTTGCCAATTTTATTTAATCCTCATCAGAAATTTTAGAGTGAGGTAGCCATTTCCTGGATGAGGAAACAAACTGGTTATGTAACAAAATCCCCAGCTAGTGATGAGCAAAACCAGGATTCCTGCTCTGATCTTCTGGTCATAAAATCTGTCTTTCTTTTTCTTCAATGTATTTTTATCTGAGTGCAACTAAAAATTTTCTTTAGCTTTTTAGCGTTTCCTCCAATCCCCAATTTATCCTCAAGGGTTTCTGCTATGCCCGTACTTTATTTATAGATCCCAGCCTCCTTGAACTTTAAAATTAAAAACAAGAGGATGAATTCAGCACAGAACTCTCTATGTAGACATATTGATCATTTGAGGCACTCCCCTCTCCTTTCTGTCTCAGGGGATTCTTTTGTAATGGCATTCCTATTTCTACTCTCCTTACTCCATCATGGCTAGCAATGATGGTCAGTCTAGGTTCTTTAAAGTTTACAACTATTTGCTTTTTCAAACACTAGTGACCTTATTGTCTATGCAGTATACAACTCCTTGGCTATAATACATTCCAAAATGTCACAGTCCCAAGGTTTCTGTCAATTTCTTTTCATTGGAATTCTGTAGTCTTTGCAACTAAGTTTAGACTAGCAATTTCCTTTATTGCTTTCTCTAAAATCTGAAAAATAAAATTGTCTGGAAGACAAAGCAAGTATTTACCAGATGCACTGATTTTTAGCAGAATGCAGCTTTAGAAAATGCCCAGTTTAGATTTTCTATCATGGATACATTTTTTTTTTTAATGTGGGACACCTTTGGGATTTGCCCTTGGTAGCACCTTCCACACCTTCTATCTGACTGGACAGTCCCAGTTCATAATTCCAGACCATGACATCATCATTCATTTTTCTCCTCGTCAGGATGTGGTCCTTATACCTCTATTCTCAGAGGACATCCAAAGTTTGTTTCAACACCAAGATTCTAATTTTTTTCCCCCTACAATTAAGAGTACATAGCTAAGGGGAGTTGTCCTGAAAGGATAGTTTTGATGTTTATTTATTTATTTGTGTTTTTTCTCTTAAATAATATTAGTCATTTTAATTGTATAAATATGGTGAGGCAGAGGAATAATATCCACAGCCTTGTTAAATATTTTAAACAGCGTACTACTATCTATTAATTGTACCTACACATGTAAATATTGATTAAATTTTCCTAAATGAGTTTTCAGAGAATCATAAAGCAACCTCTACTTTATTGATTGAGAAAGACATCAGATTCATAATGTCATAAAGGAACCCAGGATTTAACCCCGAATTTACTTAACTAAACACAAAGACTTAGTTCTATATCCTTTCCCCATTTTCTGCAGTAGAAAGTGAAGGTAAGATGATACTATTGATCAGATTCTTTTCTATTACAATTTGAGTAGGCTTATCCAATCAGTAAAGAGAGAAGAAAATGTCCCTGGAAAATCAAAATTATTTTTCATATTTAAGAAAATGGTAGTTCAATATTAATTGAGTCTATAGATATACACAGAACTAGTTTCCAAAGCAACAGTTAACTGGGTTGCCCCTAGAAATCCAACTGTGTGAATTATTTATTTCTCAGAGATGTTTGCAGGAGAGATAGTAAAAACAAGTACATGCTAGCTATCCCAAATTTACAGCAGCTACTATTTGAAATAAAAATGGTGTATTTAGAAGAAATAAATATTTTGAACAACCACATTTGTATATGATTCTTCCTATTTACTTCAACTTATTGGTATGGAAAAAAATGTGCAAGAGAAGAAATGAATGTTGGGTTTTTTCTATGCCATGCATGGATTAGATAAGCATATTGTTTTCAACAGAGATGCACAGCTGATGGGTAACATCTAAGCACCATTCTACCAGCAAGCCTCTCTATGTGGGTGGAGAGGCATCTCTTACTCTCTGGGAAGCAGGGCCATTTTGGTCTTCCTACTGATGAGTGGGCAGTGATTCAGTAGGTGATAGAGGGGAGAGAGGGAGGTGATTTCACCAGCTGGGGCCCTAAAAATCCAAGCTTCATATGCATTTAAGCAGCCAGTAATATCTATTCAACATGACTGAAGGATAAGATTTTTCTCAATTATCCTTCCATCAAGCCCCTCAAAATGTACTCTGAGCATATTTTGTATTCTCTTGAAGCCTGAAATTATGTTCCTTTAAACCTGCTTTCTCCATATGCAAAGCTGAGTGATAGCGCTGAGTATGCATATTTAGCATTTTGTGTATTAGCAGCCCTTACGCATACACTTAAAATGTTAGTCTTAAAGTTTACTCTCTCCTGCCTCTCAAATTCTAAGTCCAAAATATGTAGTAGCACAAGGCTGTCTATCGAGCTCAGTCTTCTGACAAGGACATGAGCATGATGCCATGGTGTCCCCAGCCTGCTAGAGCTCTCAGCAGGCCCTGTCACTGACTCAGTGCTACCAAGAACAATAGATGTTAAGGGCTGACTCAGTGGCTTCAGTCTTGAAGCCATCTCATACATATCTGTCCTAAGGAATGTAGTTAAATTGAGCAAAATGAAACCTAAATCTGTCCTGGACCCATGTATTAGAAGCAGGCAAACTCTTAAGAGTGATTTCAATATTTTGTGATTATTCTTTTTTAAACTGCCTTAAAGATGGAAAACACTTGCTTCATGTAAAATAGGAAATTGTCATTCATTTAGGGAAGTTTGAATTACTTGTTCTTTTCCTCAGATAACAGTTTATAATTAATTTTCTAAAAATGTGCTTATTGATATTTGGCAACTACTTAATCAGTTGTGACCATTTGGGTACTCAGCCTCCCTGTATAATGATGAATAGTTACTTTTAAAACAGAGTTCACCAACAGCCAAGTTCCATTGCAATTATATGACTTTGACAATTAAAAGGTAGTAATTGGGCTGCTATTTCACTACTGGCCTAGCACTCCAAAAATTTAAAATTTCCTGACTTTCAGCAGCTTATAAGGTTTACTTTTCCTCTAAATTTCAGGGGCTGAGTATCACAACCTAAAATAATTGGGTGTTAAATAGATGCTTTCCTCTACTCCTAGACTTAGAATCCCAGTATTAACAATAAGACAGCAAAGGTCTGTAAATATATTCCAAATCTTTTTGCTAGGGATACATCAATATAAAGATTGGTTACCTTTGTTAAAAATAGCTCCCTGTACCTGTCTTATTCCAATAAGTTTTGTATGCATCTTTTCGTAATCTCTGAGGCGAGCTAGACTTAATGGAAGTAAATTTCAAGAAAGAAAGAAAAAATGAAAAACATAAAATGGCACAGTAAGATGAGTGTTGGTTTAGTCATTGCTGGTTGTATTGACAGCAGCTTCAGCAGTGTGACAATAGAAGGACCAAGCCGTGGTGAGGCAGGTAGGAATAGAAGGTGAGGGTGGGAGTGGAGGGTGGAGAAAGATGGGAGTGTAGCTGACGTGGGAGATGGTGTGAAGGCTTTTTTTTTTCTTTTTTTTAGCATGGGAAGAGCTGGGCTTGTTTATAAACTGAGATGAATACTCCATGGAAAAGGAGTAACTGAAGAAGAGAGACAACAGTAGAGACAAGGAAAATAACCGATGGATCAAATCCCAGAGGAGGCCCTTTTACTTATCAAGCAACTGGATACCACTGAATTCATTGGAAGATGTTTTATGAGAACAATATCAGATCTTAAAAAAAATATTTAAAATGGAGGAAGGGTAGGGGACAGAACTGAGCATGGCAATTTATTCATACGTATCCCTGCCATCAAAAAGTTGATCTAAATTGAATTTCTAATCCTGGTAAGAAGGAGTAAAACGCTCAGTTTGAAAGTCTATTTTCTCTTATTAATTATTTGTAGATTCACAGATATTAGATTTGAAAGGTACTTAGAGAATATCTTAAAGTTCCTGTCAGGTCAGCAACACATTGGACAAGTAGGAGAAAGATCATGCCTTTGGGGTCTATTTTTCTGGTCCCTGCTTCTAGCAGTGGCAGCAGTGCATGGGCTGGGGGAGGTGCCCCCTGCTTTCTCCTGCTGCTGCTGTAGCTGCAGGCAGGTCCAGATGGTAGTGGGAGAAGACGGGGGCTGAGATCTGTCTGGTTTCTGCTCCTAAGTGCAGTGAGGGTTTATTTTCACTGTTTTTGATTGGTAATTTATCTGTTGAGAAAGTGATACAAGAGTCCTTTGGGCCTCATAGCAGATAATCAAAACCATTTTTTTAGAAGTTTAATAGGAATGAGATAATAGGAAGTTATAAACCTATAATATAGAAGTTTCAAATGCAAGTACAAAGTGGTGTCACCATAGCAACTCAGCTTGCATACAGGAAGCTGGATATAAAGTCAGGAATTTGGCAAGCATTCAGTATTTTTAAAAGTTGAATCTTATAAAGTAATAAAAATTAATTTTGATGTTATTCCATTTAAAAATTGATTTGCATTAACAACATATATACTTTTTGCAATATAACTTTTAACTCTGAGAAATAATGCATATCCAAAATGTTTTAAGATCTGCTTTTCAATCTGAAAATAAAAGTTTTATTTGTCTTGATTATAAAGTAACACACCCTATAATTAGAACATTAAAATATGTAAAAATAGAAAGAAGAAAGTTTTTTAAAAAATGTATCAAATACTACCACCTAGTATGGTAGGTATAGTAAATACTGTACCTATTTAGATGGACATCTCTTCAGATGTATCTCTATAAAAGCATACATATAAACATAGATTTATCATAATTTTACTAAATGATTCTTTAATTTTTAATGACCTCATAAAATATTTGAGAATATAAATTCCTAGGGTCTGGAGACCATGAGTTCTAAACATCCTTTGTGTTAGGGCCTATACTACAATGTGGACATATATACAGAAAAATTTGGCATGTAAGGATGTTTTATGTTGGTCACATTAGTAGCCATTGTCTTCAATTAGAAAGAGACAAGTTCAATAGAAATTCTGTTGTGTTTCTAAGTAATTTTTCTCCCTACTCTTTTCATATAAATCTCCACGATACCTTTCTTTTCCTGCTAGCCATGTTTTTCCTCAGTAAATAGAGGGAAGGGCACAACACTCAACAGTGATGATATTTTCCATGCAAAGACATAGCATTTATTATGAAAATAATTATATTTGCTTAAGCTGAGAAGTTTTATGTACAACTTAAAGACATGATGTGGGGAGACTTACTCAAAATGAAAAAGAAAATCTTGGGTTTTTTCTACTAAAGAGACTGTAGGAAAGAGAGTCATTATCTTGTGACCTAGGATTTGTTTCTCTGCCAGACAAAAGGAGGGACTGAAAGAAGACATTTGAGAAAGGTAGGAAAGGATTCTTGAATTCCCAAACAGAAATGACAGCACATCCTCCTTAGTGCAGTGCTTCAAGTAAAGCTAACCTATTTTGGTGGGACAATAGGTCCCACCAAAAAAAGGGAAAGGGGTCGGGAAAATAATGTAAAGTGAGCGAGGAGGAAGATATAAAAGGTGGGAGAAAGAGAAAGAGAGAAGTGAAGCAGAGGTGGTATGGGTGAGCCAAGCCAGTGCCACCAACTTCCAAGTGCCCTAGCTCCCTTCTCTGCCAGGTGGGCCGGACTCCTTGCTTCAGGATCCAACCCTGGAAACACTCTCTCCTTCTCATGGAACCCCATGGATTTGTTCCATTTGTTCCTATGTTTACATCATTTTGATTTGCTATCTGGTCTTGGATTCCTATCCTTCACTTGGCCTTTCTTGTGTTTACCTAGGAAAATAAGATTAAAGGCCTTAAAGATAAGTATCTGGATAAAGATACCTGAAGAAGACCAGACATCCTGAATGTCCAGAGTAGTGTCTCTCTTGTGTCAGTCTCAAATTTCTGTACAGATCTAGTCTCCTGACTTCCCTTTGAGCCAAGTGAGACCCAACAGTGACTCTTAGCCTTCCTCGAGAGGGCAGTGGCTAGGAACAAAGAGGAAGATCATTGCAAAAGTTAGATCTTGGTTGCAAACCTAGGTTATAATTGAACCATTGTTTTTTAGCATTTAGTGTCACATGTTTTGGTAATATTTTCCCATTTGCACTATTTTCTGTTTTTAAAAAGAAACACTTGAAAGGTTTTTTGTGAATAGCCAGTCCTTTTTCCTATTATAGTTTCAATTGAATGGCACCTTTGAAGTGGCTTTTCTATGTGGATTTTAATCAAATCAAAACAACAGGAGAAATAAAGTACTTTCTTATGGTTTGCTGACATATGGAAAGAACCCATGTTTTTGTTTTTCTATAGAAACTAAAATAAAAATTTAACCACTTGGACCTTTCACAGGATAACTAAATCATGCTCCACTGCAGTAAACCTGCAGGAAAGCTAAAGCCCAGAGTGTAATCACCCCAGTCTCTAAGGGAATCTTAGACTCTGGGCTTGATTATTTCTTAATTTAAGGGATGATTAAACCCTACAGACTTTGCCATTCTCCTCCTTTTCTGCAGATACACATACACACACAATATTTTTTTTCTACATAAAATGTTATGAGCCAATATTTTGCTTCAAAAAATGATTGAAAGGAAATAGGACAGTATTAGCTATTATTATTTCCACTTGAAGGGAATAGAGGTGTTTTATGTTTATTCTTTATGCTTTTCTCAGAGTTTAAATATCAGAAGAACTTTTCACTGAATTACTTTTGTATTTTGACATAATTTCAGAATTACAGTAAAATTGCAAAGATAGTACAAAGAATTCCTATATACCGTTTGCTTGAATCTCAAATTTTAGCATTTTACCACATTAACTTTATCATTCAGTCTTTCTACACATACACATTTATTTTTCCTGAACCATTTCAGGTTCAGGTTCAAAGTAAGTTGTATGTATCACATGCTTTTACCCCAAAATATATCAATGTATATATCCTAAAGATCAAGGACATTCTCTTACATAATAGCAATACAGTTAACAAAATCAGAAAATTAACATAATATTAGTATTGTGTTGATAAAATACTAGTTGTTAATCAATAGACTATATTCACATTTTCCCAACTGTCCCAGCATGTCCTTTGTGGAAAGGAAATTCTGGATCATGAGTGTGTTTAACTGTTAAGTCTCCTCAGTCTTCTTTAATCTGGAAGAATTCTTCAGTCTTCCCTTGACTCATCATCACAGCTGACCTTGACATTTTTGAGGAGCATGAACCAGCTATTTTTTATAAAATCCTCTTAAACTTGGGTCCTCAACAAATTTATGTTTTAAGATTGCAGAGATAATTTCTTTCCTGTTTCTTAAACTCATTTAAAATGGAATCTAAAATTGTACTCAAACCCCTCCACCAGACCTAATTTTCTTCTATATCCTGTTCCCATTAAAGGTTTTATCAGTTACCAGTTGCTCAATCCGGAAACCTAAGAGCTACTTTCTCCTTCTCATTCAGCCCCTATGGCAGAGATAACAGCTTCTTAACACGTTTTCGTCTTCCTCTTCTCTTCTCCAACCCCACCACTATTCCTGCACTCAGGCCCTCTCTTCCCATAGCCTCCAGCTGGTCTCCAGTTTGCATTCCCCACCCCTCAACCCCTAGACCACCCCCTTTTAGTCCCTCCTTCCTACAGCTCCCAAAACAATTCTTCAAATCTCAAATAAAAATCTTTTGACATCTCCCCACTACTTAAGATATTTCGAGGATTATACAGTTTGTGGATAAATTACAAATGCCTTTTAGTGCATCCCGAGCCTACCTTACTGACGTTAGCTCCCAGCCCTCCCTTCCTTCCTCTGAAGCCACAGTCATTCTGAACTTCTTGGAAATTCTCACACAACTCTGTTGGTTTATGGCTCAGAGTCTTCACATACGCTGTTCCCTTAGCCTGAAACATGCTCCTGCCTCCCCACCCACACATTCTATTTTACTCAGCTAATTGTTATTTTTTTTAATTAAAATTCAGTTCAGGTAGCACCTCCTCTGCCAAGACTTCCCTATCCTCATCTTCCACCTACAATCTGTCCAACCCGATGAGAATTTGTTCTTTTTTCTGTGTGATCTCTGGGGAAAGGGGGAATAAGTTTACACCAATTACAACCATCAAAGAACATTTCCTGGTAGACTAAACCATTCCTGAAACAAACTAACAGTCCAGAAGTCAGGACTCACTGTGTCATCCTAAAGAGTATTTACTTTATTCTCTGTATTTGGTCCTGAAAAAGTTAGATTCACTTATGACTATTCTAAGATATTTAACTATATGACCAGTAATGGGAAATTTCTTGTGATTTTGTTATTACATTTGGAACTCTCAAACTGAGGCTTTTCATCCTGGAAGTAGACTCCTGATTGTCATTTAAAAATTGCATCACTACTAATTGTCACAGAAATTGGATTGTAAGAATAGTGAAGAGTAGCAGTGCTACCACTGTAAAAATTCATTACTGAGGATAAAATTCCATGTGATCATTATTATCAATGTGTTCTGGAAAGTACAATTGGGTGGTAGAAAAGGTTTATGGGCATCTGGCTTGCTCCACTCTGGGTCATTTTGTGTCTAGCAAACTGCCGAGAACTCAATAAATGTTTGTGAAAAAAACTTTGTCTTTGCCAAACCTAAGATACAACCAGGCCTGTAAGTAATGGAGTAACTATTGTTCATGTTATCTGCTTCAAGCAAAAGATAGAATTTAATGCTATAGGTATTAAAACTAATTTTGACATGCTTTTACCCAGACTCCTGAAACTGTGGCCAAAGCTTTGCACTGAGCTTGTACTTGCTGTAAACTTACTCCCGCTCATGTTTAGTTTCTAATTTTCATTCCTGTGAGTCAGT